ACCGTTAATTTCTTCCAAATAAAAATTAATTTTGCTGGTGCGTTTGGTGCTATTATTTGGACCGCTGGTGTGCATATCGCACACTAATAATGAGGAGAATTAATAAAAAAATTTGATATTGTTGGAAAACGCAATCAAAGTTTGATCAATACAGGAAAAATAGAAGTACCCATATCTTCGAGGCTTTTAGGAAGTTTAGTTACCTGTTAGACTGAATGCATTCTTCTTATTAAGCTCGTATTATTTGTATGACAAAACCTTCAAAAATTTATATTTTGAACTAATTATCTTTATTATTATATGTGCGATATATTTATTTTATTATATTTGTTGAAAAAATAGTTCGCAAAAACTTTTCCATAGTTTGCCGACTGGCACTGAAATAAAGTTTCTGTCATCAGTTCAATGCCAGCCACAACTGAACCACTGATACGCAAATCATTTGCATTTTAAAAAGCCACATAAATGCGTATAAAATATGTAAATTTTATTGTCGAAGGAACTTAAGCTATATATTTATGTATCTATGTATATACAGTAGAGTTAAATGTGTGTTAATACATGTATTTACCATCCGTTAGAAACAAAAACATTAAATTTATGTATTGCACAAAGTTAAACCATAAACGCCATTTCACAGCAAACTTAAACCTTTAACCAGGCGACTGATTCCCTGCCACATTCCCGTTTCCTGCACTCTGCATGCAACCATCACTTGCGGTTGAGCAAATTTTAGGTTCTGCACATATAGCCTTTGAAAACACACACACACACACTCATGCACCTACTGGCAGCATGGTGCCGCAAATAGCTCGAATTTATTACATCGTTAAATATTTATGCAAATTTGTTGTGATACACATAATTTTTAAACATAACACACAAATTCACATACATAGTTTTTTTTGCATTATGCTTGTTGCACTTTAGGATTTTTGTGACGCTCGCAAATTTTTTCAATACATCACATGTAGATATGTATTTGGGTCGTTCTTAAAAAACATGACCAATTGGTGTCCCCAGACTTTACTATTTTATATTTTGTTTCTTCAAAAAGAAAATAGAAAAATATCTGCATTTTTATAAATTATTATCGATTCTACGTAACTATATTATAAAAAAAAAATAATTAATTATCTGAAAATAACTTAAAAAATATTTTCAATGTCAAAGGTTTAGCAAAAACCTGTGTCCCGAGCCAATTTATAAAAATTTAATAGTTATTTTCAGTTGAAATAAAATTTAAAAAAATAATATTTACAATTTTTGTTATTCAGTTTGTGTATATTAATACCATATATAGAAAAGAATGATGAAAAATAATTTTTTTGTATAATTTTTATGAAGAAAATTTGTGTCCCCAGGTTTTGGTCCCCTCTGTTACGTCCACTCATTTTATTGAAAAATGTTTGTTAAACGTTATGACGCGTATATTTCTCTTATGCTTCTCCATCATAACTTAGCTAAAATCAACAAAATGTGTTTTGAACTGTTCTGTCTTGTTTAGTGCGTTGTTGAGTAAGGAACCCAATTGTATGCCGGGTACGTACCCTTATTCAGTGTCAACTCTGTTACTGTTGAAAAACGGTGAGTAAAGTGATTTTTTATTTATTTTATAATTTTTTTATAAATATTTTATGTACATTAATTAAGTGGACAAATAAATTCTCCAAAATTCGAATAAAAAGCTAAAATATGGTATTTTTGAGTTAATTTGTCCCCTCTGTTACCGGTCCACTCTGTGACTTATTAACTCCAAAAACTCCAAAAATTAAAAAAAATACTGCTGGTTATGGATTCCTATTGTTGATACCATCCGTAACCACATGAGGCCAATTATAAACATATTTGGCCAACTTAATTTTTAAAAATTACAAAATTCAGAATGGTCATGTTTTTTAAGAACGACCCATTTACTTGCGGATTTGGACGGACCGCCACATGAATTAACATGCTGTGTCTATAGCCATACTCATAAATTTGCTGACTGTTCTCGTTGCAAATTATGCAAGAAGGTTATAAATTTAACTGGCGAATATTGGAGCTTTGACGAATTTGCATATGTTTACGATGACAACCACAAAATATGTACAGATTATGAAAACTTTAATAATAATTTTATGAGTTTGCTGCTGTTAGGATTATACTCGTCAATCACTTGTCCTTGGAGTTACATGAAGCATGTTGTGCAAGTGTATGGTTAGAGTGGCGACCGTGGCGTATGTGCGATTTTGATTATGTATGCACTACATTTAGGGCCAATTTCACAATGCGTAGTTAACTCAGAATCGGGAGTTAACTACAGATTTTTGTACTGAAAATCTCTAGTTAACTGTCGATTCGGAGTTAACTACGCACTGTGAAATTGGCCCTTAGTTTTTGGATATGCGGTTGATTATTTCAGTTCACCAAACTCCCTTTTGATGATATAAATGGTGAAGTAGGGACATTCTTATTCTTCTTTCGAGAGGCTTACTAAAGTAGTGAACGAAAGATGGCTGACGAAATAACCCGAAAACCGCCATGAAATTGTGGGCGTTGCTCACCGCTAAACGCACTGGCTTACTACTGAGCCTAAATAAGCATAATATCAGTTTGTTAGTATCTGTTAGAAGAGAACACTGCACGGTAGAACCTATCAGAATGAAGAACTCAGTGCCCTGCTCTATCCATCCGAAAGCTCTTCACTCTGGGTAGACAATTTTTCGAAAGCTTGGAGAACTTTAGCTGCGTGGGAATAAGGGATCTTCTAAAATTCCTGCGAAGTTCAATTGGCTTTAGGAGAGATTTCGAGTTGCTGACCCCACATGTAGTATAAAAATGGGCCTTGAGAAGGTCATGATTTGCGACATGAGTGGTAGGCGAATGCCAAATGGGGTGGCGACTACAATGGATAAATCGGAAAATGATGACAGCAGAATGCTCTTTATTTCTATCGTATCATGAGAGTGGTAGGGACGTGAATGAAGAAGTAAGACATATTTTCTATTTGCTGTTCAGTTGTGTGTGGTGGCATACAGCGTAGGGCTCTACAAGGAAATTTCAACAACTCGACTAATTTTTATTAGCATCGGACACATAACGACAGCCACAAATAAACAAAAGCCCGAGTAACAGTTCATTTCCACCAAACCTTAACTGCAGTTTATGCCTAGTCGAAAACGGAGATTGCAATTCTAAGGGAGTAATTGCTTATATTAAGTACAAGAAAACCAAGGTGAAACAGCAAGTAGTAATAAATAAACCTTTTCGATCGCCCCATGTTAGATTTATTGGAACTTATCAGAGCTCTTAACTGTAGTTAAGGCTTAGGTGAAAATGGGCTACAACATTTGCGCGGCTAAAAAGTGAGACATTCTTGTAAAAGGAAATCGAAGCTGGCTACTACAGAAAAAGGTTTTTTTTTTTAAACGAACCTTGAAGTATGTCACTATCAAAATGGGTGTGGTCGTCTTAACAAGGAGGAGAAGAGCTCGTGCAAAATTGATTGGAACTGCTCGCAGCCAACATAAACCGCGCGCAACAACAATTGTATGCAATAAGGCACAGAGTTAATTTGGGACTGCACAGAATTTAATTGGGACAATTTTTTTATTATGCGCCAATTCAGCACAATAAAAATGGGCCAGATTGGTGCATTTACGGCAATCGTGTGACTTTGTGTGGCTTAAGACTTCGAAAATGTGTCAGGGGCTGTAGAAAATACGAAGAAGGGCAATGTTCTTTAACCTCTACATAACAGACCTATACCGATATATGTATGTATGTAGGTATGTACTCTTGGATCACCTAAATTTAGTGACCAGACATGAAAAATGGCGCAGTAAGGTCAAAAATTAATATGAAATAATAAAGCTAAGCATTAATCGAGTGAAACTTAAGGAGTTGCAATGTTTTATATTCACAAGTTTCAATATGTGTCGGATTATCAAACCATTTAAAAAAGCCTGCAAGCATTTTTTACCTTATTTTCAGTTAAGCCTTACTTAGGCACTCGGCACATTACGCGCCTAATCAAAGTAGAGTAATCGTTTCATCATACCGAAACGAATGCATGTCGACTCGACTTCTGCACATTTGCACGCCCTGTATAAGTCACCAGCTAATAAACACTTTCTACACATAACACATTTTTTGGCCGTTCTTTCGCAAATATTTCCGCTCCGAAATATTGCATAAACGCTTGTGGTTTAATGCAATTTGCACGAATTTTAGCACGAAATCGTTCATTTCCAATTATTTTCTATTAAATGGACAAATAAATTTTATTTCCAACACAAACAAGTAAACAAATGACGATTTCAAAACTGCAAGCGCCTTACAATGTTGGGCGCTTCGATTCATGAAGCTCTGTAGATTACGATTCAAAATCATGTTTGCGCCTAATCATAAAAGCTTCATGAATCGAAGCGCCCAACATTGTAAGGCGCTTCGATTCATGAAGCTTTTATGATTAGGCGCAAACATGATTTTGAATCGTAATCTACAGAGCTTCATTGAAATACATGGGCTGGGCATAAAAGCTTTATACTTTAGTATGCCGAAACGATTACACTACTGTGATTAGGAGCTTAATGTGCGGAGTGCCTTACTGATTTTTTAAATTTAAGTTTACATACATATACCTATGTTACTACTGTGAAAACAAAAAGTTAACTGTTTTAATAAATTAGTCAAAAAGTATTTGTTTTATTTTATTTTAATTATTTCATAAATTTTACAGAACCATAACAGTTATACATACATATGGATCATATTTCGTAATATTTATGGCATTATTCACAAAAAATAAAATAGGTTTAAAGAACTTTGTAAGGTGACATTTTCATACAATTTTTCTAATTATAAAAATTTATTATTAAAATTTTCTTTATTTTTTTTTAATTCGGGTGTTAGTATATTTATTTGAGAGAAAATTTAACATAAAAACTTATGTATATATTTATATGCAGCTTATTATTACTTGCTTTCTAATCATCTTGTGTCTTTTATATTTGCAGATTCAACATCTCAACGCAATTTGCACATGTAAGCTAAGGGGTTTGTATAATTTCTCAATAAGTTTCATGCAGATTTCATGAAAACATTATTCACAACTTTATCTACGTTTCGTGGCGTCCATTCAATTTCTACTGCTTAAAAGCGTAGTAAAAAACTATTACAAAAGTAGATGCGGGTGAATTTGTATTTAAATTCCTGTGTATGAGTAACTATTTGTGTTTAAAGGAAAAAATAAACTTTCTACGAGATGAAAAACGAGAAATGCACTGCAGTAAAAGTTCAGTTATTTTGTACGAGTTTAGAGTAAGTGTAGTATTTTTTATTTTCTCTTTTTATTTCAACCGTATTGTTTTTGTATTCATACATAATTATTTCCAAAATCTGATTCCATAAATGTCACTCATACGCAATGTATACCCACTGGGGATTTAGTTGCTTGCAATGACTTCCACGAGTTGGAGTGCATCACTACTAAGTTTGCACACATTTTTCTAATATGTACTAAACATTCCCCTAAAGTTGGACAATGATTTTGCAGGTATACAGCGAATGATTTATTCTAGAATAAACATAAATGTTATATTAATACGACTATGTATGTATATAAGTTCCTAAGTTTACATTTTACTTTTTTCTTCTCTCCTTACGGTACCTGTAATTCAGTACATGTGTACGTACAAACTAAGTTTTTGCTTTGCGTTGCTTTAGAATCTTAAAGGATTCACTCCTGAATATTTAAAGGTACACGTAAACGATGAGAATAAATACCTTGAGAGTTCCGCCATATTGGTCTGAGAATTCTCCTGGGTGTTTACACGTACACGGACCCTCACTTGTATTTTGTTCTTATGATAGTTTTTGGTAAGAAAAATCTCACTCATTCTCATGTCTGTTTACACGAAGAGCTCTCACGCGGTTTGAAAGTAAAATATTTAATAATATATGAACTTATGCAAGAATTACAGAATACAAGATTGCAGTGACAAAACGAAACAAAAGAAGAATAAATGAAAAAAAAAAACTTTTGAATATACCACGCTTTTATAAATGGAATAAAAATTAGAAAATAATACTTTTCAGTCCCATAGAAACTTTTTTAATAACTTTTGATTTTGAAATTTTAGCAAATGTCATTATAAACCATTTATGAGAATGAAAACGAAAAACGTGGAGCGCATGCAATAAAAAGCATTACATTTAATTGATTTACAAACTACATAACATAGACCTGAAATTTAATTTCTACATAGAAAGTATCAATTTTAGATCGATTTTAGCGCTCGTTGTTCATATATCCACATACATACATACTATATTACCTTTATATCAATTCAGGTCTATTACATGCGCCCCACGCTTTTCATTTTCAATCTCATAATGACTTTTACTAAAATTTCAAAATCAAAAGATATCAAAACAAATTCTATGGAACTGAGAAATATTATTTTCTAATTTTTAGTCCATTTAAAAAAGCGTGGTATATTAAAGTTTTTTATTTTAATTTTATTTATTTTATACTTTTTAGTCTTGCCTGTATAAAATTTTGCAATAGATATTAAAATAATTCAACTTGCAGTGAAAAGAGAACAGAAGACAAAGCAAGCAAAATGTTTTGTGCTTACGTTGAGTATATACCTACATATGTACGTACATACATATAGCAGCAATTAATTTCATTTAAAGAAAAGGCGTGTCGTCCATTTCCGCTGTAGCGTATGTAGTGCATATTTTTAGGCGCAAAATTTAACTTCTTCGGGCGGGGCGACATCTAGAGTCTTCTAATTGTATGTTTTTGATATGATACGTACGACGAGGTTGATATCTAGACTAAGTTGATATCTAGACTTTGCCATAAATACCTTTGCTATATTTATAGTATAAATGGTGGTCTAGACACACAACATGGCAAGTTGATAAAAGCGTTGTAATAAAAGGGCGTGAATTTGCCAAGAATAAGTAACGGTACTGTTGTTTTCTCTACATTGCGATAATTATGTAGAATTTTGTCGTTCAGGTGTTGTGAAGAATGTTTAATAGACGCAAAAAATTACTTTTTGGTCTCCTGTCCCTCAAAGAAGATATAAAAAAACAATAGGAAGATAGTGAGCATTTATTTTACGTCGGTCCATTTCTAAGTATTTTAATATGAGTTAATATTCATGAACAACACATCGTGAGAATACTAAAACCCAACGAATTGAATTTTGTTTTTATTGTTTGAACTTCCAATATAACAATTCGCTCAAGACAAAATGCAAATGTACCCAACAATAGCAAATGATGATTAGTCAATGCATAGCAAGATTTACATATGTATATAAGGTGGCGCATTTCGCAGGTCCGTTATTACACGATGTAGAAAATAAAGGTGGCGCCATTTGCGGACCACTAACCCTCTCTTCGTCGTCCACCTACTCGCTGATGTCATAAAATATCTTCTCAAACTAGGGATGAAAATTAAGATTTCTAATTGTACCTATGTCCCGAAAAACTTGAACTTAAATGTACCTAAAAAGTAAATATATATTTTGATGTGTATAATTTTTTGATAGTGGGTGGTTAACCTCTCCCTTCGGTACCATATATACTTTTGGACTCTTATCAAACACTCTTTGCTATTAATAATAGCCTTAAAGGGACTTTCTCCGAGCAGTTCAAACCAAAACTATATTTTAACCAATATTTATGCCTATTTGCAAAGAAAAGATGGTATTGGAAAAGCATCCCAGACTAGAAAATGCTTTGAAATGCGTATAAAAATAAGAAAATGTCCCGACAAGTTATTTTGCTTCCTTCCAGATGTACCTAAAATGGTGTGCTTGTACCGAATATACGTTCAAATTTAAAAGGCTAAATAATGGGTACAATTCTACTTGCATTTAAATCATTTTTTCGCATCACATGTTCACGTTTCCTCTTATTTTTTAGAATTTATATTTTGCTCCCTCATTCTTTCACTTTTATTCATTCCCACACTTTTATGACGTCACAACCGGTTGCTCACAGTTTGATTTGCGCAATCTTGTATTCTATCCCTCTTGCGTTATTAGGCATCTTACACTCTGTACGGCTGAGAATGAAAATTCTCAACGCGTGACATAAGTATGCGACCTGAGAATATGAGTGAGAGTGTAAGAAAACTCTCAAACACGCTTGTTACACGGTGTGATTATGGCAACTTAACGTAACTTACGGCTCTCTCTTAAAAATTCTGTTAAATGGGTGTTGCTTATAATCGAACAGCCAAAACTTAACGTAACTTAATGCCACGTCGAAATCTGTTTCATTTTGATTCTCTAAGTTCTACGTTCCGTTAAGTTAAGTTAAGTTGCAAAAATAAGGCTTTAAGAATATTCCAGTGCTGACAACTTATGAGAACTCCACGATAAGAATGAATACCAACTCTCATTACTTGTTCGACGGTGAGAATGAGAGTGAATTCCTATCCTCAAGGTATTTACGGTGACAGGTAATAAGATCAACGGAAATAAGGTCAATTGACGTTATTTCCCACCCTGGTGCGAAATAAAGACAATTGACATTATTGCCTTTTCAAAAGCGAAATAAAGTCAACAAAAATTTGGAAATAAAGTCAGTGACGCTATTTCCTCATTCAAATCGAAATAGCGTCAACAATTCTTAAAGTATGTCGATTCATAGAAAAAAATGTTGTTCTTACAATAAACATTGCCCCGTAAGTGTTGTTTTTTAATAGATGACAAAGGTTATTGCCAAATCCTCAGTGTGGTGATATTAATCCACACACAATCAAGAACTACCACCAATTGATTTTATTAAAAAAATTTAAATTACGAATATGTAAAAACACGATGCGAAAAACTAAACGCAAAGCAAAGCTGGAATACGAGAAATATTTGAAAAAAGAGTGTAGAAATGATCCAGAACTTGCAAAACATGTTTCGTTTCCACAAAAATGAAGCGAACACTATTAAATTGAAGAAACAGTCCATGTCCAAAAACCCCGGAGGAACACTGAAAGAATTCTGTGTTTTAAATTAGCATATTTTGAACGAATTCGGAATGTCTAAGGTGGAAAAGAAGCCAATCTTTATATAAGGAAACAATTATAGAAAAATAATTTTCTTACACTGTATTCATGTCTCCGCCAGCAATTTGTGACATCATTGGAAAGCAAGGCGAACGACGACACTATTTATTAGATGGCACATTCAAGCCAATGTGCCAAAATGCGGGTATAAACAATTATTGATTTTTTAATATCGGAACCGAGATCATGTAAATAAATTGATTGGTTTGTGAAAACACACACATTATATGCTTTTTTACTGCAGACAAGTTGTTGCCAAAACACAGCAGAAATCTTCTAATCAGGGCTGCCAACTATCCTTAGTTATAAGGTGCCATATTGAGGATAAAAAAGTGCCAAAATGTGCCAAATAGAAAAATAAAAGTGCCAAAAAAGGTGCCATTCCTCTTAATCATTCAAATTTTGCAATAAAATAAAGCCACATTTTCAAAACAAAAGTGCAATGATAAATTAAGATAAACCAGTTGAATAGCCTTTATAAATTAGAAATTTTTAGTTGAGAAAAAGAAGTGCACGCAAAGGATTTCACAAAAATGTATTGAAAAGTTATTGTTTTACAAAAGTGCCATTTTGGCACTTTGTGCCAAATTGAAAAATTAAGTGCCATTTGAAGTAAAATAGGGACAAATGGCACGGTTTGAACCAAGTTGGCATCCCTGCTTCCAATAACTTACAAATATAAAAATGTGAAATATCGAGGGCTTGAATTCGTTAATACCCTCTATCTGCAATTTGCACAAAAACTAATTTGTAATTTTAGAAACCGTCTGGGACTTATTACCTGTCGTTATATAAGGTAAGCATTAATATCACCGATGAAAGTTAAAGCTTAGGTGGATTTTTATATCAGAATCTCATCTTTGTGAAAAGTGTGCAGATAGAGGGTATTATTGAATATAAGCCCTCGATGTTTAAAATATATATAAATTTTATTTCAATGTATACAAAAAATAAATCTACCTGCGTTACAGCACGGCCGGGGGTGTGCGCGCAGGTCGCGCGGGGTACGCGGGCCGCCTCGAAGCTAAGCAAATTTAATGTTTGAAAGAGCAACAATGTCAATGGATATTATTTCGCTTTTAAAAAGGTAATAATGTCAATTGACTTTATTTCGCACCAGGGTGGGAAATAAAGTCAATTGACCTTATTTCCGTTGATCTTATTACCTGTCACCGTATTTACTCTCATCGTTTACGAGCATCTTTATGCATGTGCGCAAGCGCGTATATATGTA